ACTGAAGACCTATCTGATGTGTTGAAATGGTTGAACCATGCCAAAAGCAGCACCTGACCCTCCCTCCTGCAGCTCTTCCCAATTTAGCTGCAGGAAAACATGAGGTTGGGCAGACAGATCCCTTACTGCTAAATGTGGCTTGTATTACACACTTGCATGAGTGGTCACTACTGACTGAACCAGTCACTCCCAATGATCAACACTGTCTCTTCCCCTCACACTTTAAACAAGTGCTGAAGCCAAACAACCTTATCAGAGAATACACAAGCTTACAGATGAGATGCTGAAGCAGAGGGTAGCACAGAGTGCAGCTGGAGCATGGTCCTCTCTGAACTGGGTGCTTGTTGTTTGGCTGAGGTGCCTGGGAATAACTGGAGGCTGCAGCTCGCAGAATGAGAAGAAAAGGACTAGCAACTGTTTTCTTGTGCCTTTGTGCCTCTTGTGCCTGTGGATTTGCTGCCCTTCCAAATGTTATGACTAATGCATAAAGCATTGCTCCTCTCTAGACACTCAACTTTTCACTAGCTCAAGACTTAAAACAAGCCATGAATCTGTGTGCTGCTGCAGGTCTCCAGGCATGTAACCTTTACTGGATATGCCACGCTGGCATTCGCTGTCTCGCCTGCGCTGTTTATCAGCCTCGCTCCCTTGCTGGAGTATTGCAGCCTTGCAATCTCTGAGAACCTTCTGGGTTTACTCTTTGCCATCCTCCCTCATAACTACAAATTAAATGGGAAAAGGATCTCTTGGAGAAACAGTCCAAAAGAGCCTAGGCAATATTTTGTGCTGAATTTCTCTCCTTGGACCTTTATATATCATTGGTGTATCTTGCAAGACACCTCTGGGGTTTTGAAACTAATTTTCCATCATCATTAGTGAGAAACCTACCCTCAGCTTCTTTTCATTAATGTCTAACACAAGACTGAGAAGAAGTTCTGAATGTGTGCACTCTTTTTAACTTGATGATGCCATATGCAAATAATTATACAAGGCACAGAAGCAATGGTTAAGAGCTTCCTCATTAAACTAAGCAATTATCTGCCAGAAGAGACACATCTGAACCCTCTCACTCCACACACGTGATAAGATCTCCACATCTTGCAGCTGTTTAATTTTTCCCCAAGAGGAGAAAAAAATCAGATGTAATTACCATCAAGGGTGAGGACAACATGGTGGGTGCATAGATGGTGACATTCAGTTTGTATCCATCAGTGAGGTGGCTGTGACTTTGCACGTGATCTGTCTGGTATTGCATGCAAGGGCACAGATCTATGAAAATGCAGTGGAAACATTAATTGAGTTCCAGCTATGTCATGTGCTACTGTGCAAAAGAAATGACTCCTGAAACTCTAGGGCTATGATTTGCTGTTTGGTGGTGCTTCAACTCAAGAACCACCACCAATAATACTTGGAGCCATCTCATCCTGTGTGCTGCATGACATTGGCATAGTGTCTTTGAGCTGTCTTCTCACTATATTTTGGGTAGTGAAGTGAGCTGAGGAAATGGATTCAACAAAGGAACAGTGCATCAAAACAGAATGGCACTGAAAGAAAGTCATATTCATGGAGATACATGTATTTTCAAAGCACTAAACCAGATTAAATGCCTTCATGTTCTGTTCTTACAGTACAGTTTATCTATTTCATCACCTGCACCTTTCCTGTCACTGTAATAGCTGAGATTTTTCACAATCTGTCGTTGTGAAAACAATGCTGTTGCTGCCTTTTACAGAGCAAACTGAAGAACTTGCCTACAGAAATGGGAAATTTGTGGACAAAATGAAGATGAGTTTGGACTTTCCACAGTTCAGGTTAGTTTTCCAGCTGCTGAATCATCCTCCTTTTCCTTAGGTACAGGAGAATAGTGAAAAAAGTAGAATGTTTATTTTTGTATAAGCAAATTTGAATATGCAAATTGGAAAATGGGAATAGATTTTTTTTAAACTTACGACCAGAAGGTGTTTAAATCTGCCAAGAACTTCAGTCAAGCAACTGTTTTGTGCTAGTTGGGGATGTAGGTTAGTGGTTTCAGCAAATACACAGATAATTAACTGAAACTCCTTTTGTTCTAGCCAACAACATAAAAGCAATGAGAGAAAGGAAACAAATCACAGGGGAGTTCTGTGGCATCTTGCAAGGTTTCCAGTGCAATATAATAGAATCACACTGATGAGCTTTTCCAGTGCTAATGAGGGGATGCCAGACTGACAACACCAAAATCTGATGGTTTTGCTGAAAAGGAACAATATGAGAAGGAGCAGCAAAAATTCCCTTTTCCAGGAACCAGTGAAGAGTTGTGAAGGGAAGGCCACAGACACTGAGTCCCTCCTCCCCTTTGAGCAGGGGCATGGCCTGAAGCACTGGGAGCCTGAGGTAGCCAAGGCAGAGGCTTCTCAGGGGTCACCAAGGCTGGGACACAGAAAAGCAGTTTGTCTGTAGGAAAGGGAATTTAAGCTGGGTAACTGCAATATCTAGCACTGTATTAGCATTACATATTATCTGCAATATATGACACATAATAATTATATATTACATGCAATAGATAGCAAGAATATCATGGACATCCCTCTGGAATGTCCCTGCAGGTGTAAATGTGTAGAGAAAGGGTCTCTGGTCAGTGAGGACTGTGAGGTGAAGGGTCTTACCAACTGGCAAACTCCTCTCTTCCTCACTCCCTCCAAAAGTTGGTAATGGATTACTAAAACACAGTATTAATTTAGTGCAATACTGAAACTGGTGGTCAGCAAGATGTGAATCAATGAGGAATCTCCCAGAAAGTAAGAAGTATCTTAACCCAGCTTCTCCAGAGAGCACATTGAATCATATCAGGTTATCAGTAAAATTATCATTGTCCTTATTGTAATGGCAAAGCCAAAAGACATTCATTTAACAAGAGGTTTTATAACAGAAGAAGCAGTGGCCAGTCTGTGAGGTACCCAGCAACCCTTTTAGGTGAGATCCTGAGAGGTGTTTTATGTTTTATGTTTAGGAAGGTTGGCACGGCAGGGTAGACCTGGTGCTGAAACTTCTGGAGGTGGAGGGAAGGTGTGTTTAACAGGCAGCAGCAAAAATACAAAACCACCTCTGGCAAAGGAACTTGCTGAGTTATCTTGCTGCAGCCTTGTTTGCCAAAGAAGTTGTCTGTAAAGCCTGCCATCATTAAAATTCTTCACGGTGATAACAGCACTTTCCCCAGAACACTTTGTTGAAGCTTGCAAATGGAATTATCTGCTATGACTGCTCTTTTGAGCAGTGTAAATCTTCAACAACAATCCTAAATAAACCTGTGATATACAGTGCATGGAACACCTATTTTTATAAATATCTCTGCAGAGGAATGCTAGGGATAGGAAGAATAAATTACAAGCAAGAAAATGGCAATTTAAAACATGCTCTAACCCCGTTTGCTCCTTGGCACTGCTCTACATTCACTTAGCTCCAGCCCCTGGAAAGGCAAAAGTCACAGATTTTATTTACATAACTCAGAGCTTCTAAATAGAAACAATAAAGAAGTGAAGCTTTGCAGGAAAAAAACACATAAAGTATGAACAAGAAATACTACTTTAGCCTCTGTGGCCAGAAAGATACCGGTGTTGGGAGTAATGTGCCATTTTAACAGAGATACAAACATCATGACCCAAGTGCAGGCTCCTCACTGGGGAAATCATCTCTCTTTTCAGGAGAGGGACACCAAATGACTCTCTGGTGTCTTGTTAAGAGCCAGTGCTCAGCACCTCACCATGCACAGGACAGCTGCCTTTCTGCTTTAGGCTCTGACTGCTCCTCAGGGATCTGAACTTCCCTGAATTTGGGTGTAATCCTAGGCATGAAGTACTTCTTAATCTAATCCTAAACCACTACTGCATATAAATGTCCAGAGCTGAAATCACTGCCTGGAAAGCAAAGAAAATGTTTAGCAATGGCTCTTTAAGCACTCTCTGTCTTATACTTTACAGCCTGGCCTCAGCTCAGTGAAATGTGGGCTGTTTAGAAAGGACCAGCAAGTTTTGCCATGTCCATACCTGTAACTCAAAGACTCTGCTTCATCTTGCAACACGTACAGGAACTGGAAATTAGTGTTTCTCTTCCATTTCACCCCAGCCAGCTCTTCTCATTCTAATACTGCTCATTCTGGTGAGTTCTAGGATGAACCAATTTGGGCAGGCAAAAGAACCTATAAGGTTGCCCGGGGATAATGATGGTCCAGGTGTCTTCTTATAGAGCAGGTGACAAAAATAATAGATCTTATCCAGGAGGAAAAGTTGCATTGTGCTGTCTAAAGGAGATTCATAACTCTAACTCAGTAGAGAGGCTGTGATACTGTTACACTGAGTTAGCCAGTACAACTTTCTGTGCCCTGCTATTGTACCTTCAAATTAGTGCACAGCAGGTACGATCAATCCAGCCATGTGCCACAGAGCTCGTATCATTTTCTACCTGTCTGGGAGATGACTTTTGTCACCCTGGTTATATTTAACTCCTACGCAGCTCTGTGCCTGCTAGATGTGCTGCTGGCAAGGGAAAACACACATATCTTTAGGCATTGGCCATGCTGAAGGATGATTGGGATGAAATATAGAATTCTTTTTCAGGATCTCCTTCTACTTGCAGCAAATAAGCAGCACCTACGGATGTTTTAATTTTTCACACTATACTGCTGTACTGTGTGGCCCAGGCTTTGTAACTACTGTCAACTCAAATGTCAGTTGGTATTTATTACGCCAGAACCAGAGCAAGGAATTCCTAAAGACCTTAAGGAAAGCATATTTAGTTTCTCATGCTCAAGAGAAATTCTGGAATAATTCCAAGTGAGGAAAGAAGACAGAGTAAAAAATTTTAACTTTCAGTGAGCCATATCTGCACATACACATTTCCTGTGCTAGAAGGACATTTGAAGCAGATGGGATGTGACCAACCCCAAACTCCCAGAGATGTAGCAGAGCTCTGACACTCTTCTGCAATTCAGGGCTATAGCAATAATACTTGTATTGTGTGCTCAGTTAAATTGCCCTTCCCAGAGGCAGTGCTCTGGCCCGCTCCGATGGCACCAGCAAAATGCCGCCTGAGAGAGAGCAGGTGAAACGCACTCGGGTCCACTGCTTCCCTCCTAGCAGCTGGTGGGCATTGCTGTTACCCGGAGGGTTCAGAGTCCTTGCGACGGGTGGGGTGAGCTGATCCCTTGTGTTTGCTGCAGATCCTTTCGAGCCATGGTGGGCCCGCTGCCGAGCCCTCGGGCCGGGCAGGGCGCGGCCGGGGCTGCGGAGGGCGTGAGGGAGCGGCCGGGGCTGCTGAGGGCGTGAGGGAGCGCCGGGCCCAGGGAGCGCCCGGGGCTGCGGAGGGCGTGAGGGAGCGGCCAGGGCTGCTGAGGGCGTGAGGGAGCGCCGGGCCCGGGAGCACCCGGGGCTGCTGAGGGCGTGAGGGAGCCGGGCCCGGGGAGTACCCGGGGCTGCGGAGGGCGTGAGGGAGCGCCGGTCCCGGGAGCACCCGGGGCTGCGGAGGGCGTGAGGGAGCGCCCGGCTCTCGGAGCACCCGGGGCTGCTGAGGGCGTGAGGGAGCGCCGGGCTCTGGGAGCACCCGGCTCTGGGAGCACCCGGGGCTGCTGAGGGCGTGAGGGAGCGCCGGGCTCTGGGAGCACCCAGGGCTGCTGAGGGCGTGAGGGAGCGCCCGGCTCTGGGAGCACCCGGGGCTGCGGAGGGCGTGAGGGAGCGCCCGGCTCTGGGAGCACCCGGGGCTGCTGAGGGCGTGAGGGAGCGCCGGGCTCTGGGAGCACCCAGGGCTGCTGAGGGCGTGAGGGAGCGCCGGGCACAGAGAGCGCCCAGGGCTGCTGAGGGCGTGAGGGAGTGCCGGGCCCGGGGAGCGCCCGGGGCTGCCGCCCGCCTTGTCGGCTGCACGGGCAGCTGCACACTGTGGTAACAGCAAAAGCACGGAGGTGGAAGGCTGAGATTGCAAAAAAGGAAAGTGAACCCCAGGTAGGGGAATAGTGCCCGGACAGTAAAGCTAGTGAGGGAACAAACCAAGACTAGGGCGATGCCCAAAGTAGGAGACTCCGGTGGTAGGAAGACAAGGGGAAGGAAAGCTGTGGATATTGTATCCTGACCGTGTCCCCCCAGATCAGTCCCATTCCAGCTCCTTTTCTCTCTCTGGTGTGTGGAGTGCGATAGGGCAGGCTCAGCTCCCTGCCAGTGCGTGCTGAGGGCTCTGCACTGCCAGGCCATGGGAAGCCAGCACCTCCAGGGCTGGCCCTTCCTGCCATGGAGGATTGTGGGGGTACCAGTTGTGGGTTTCTCTGGTCTGGATTGAAGGCACTTGAGGTAGCTCATGTTCAGACTCAGGTGTTCATTATTTCTTATCAGTAAAACAGTCTCACTGCTGTGAGTTTGGCAGCTTTTCATTAGCAGGCACAAAATGGCCAACAATCTCTTGTTACAAGGGCTTTTAAGACTAAACTATCCAATTAAGAGCTGACACCTGGATTATTTTCCCTTTTATCCCAATAACTGATCCCAAAGAGCCACAATGGGGACTTTTCTGCCCAATTACAAAATGCCACCCAAACCCATGGAGAAGGAGGAAGAAGAAGCATAAAGAAGAAACCCAGGACAACATCCTGTGCCCTCCATCTTGCTGCCATCCACAACATACTGAAAATCCCAAAACCTCAATTTCTCACCAAGTGATTCACCTACACTGCTCTCTATAATCTATTGCACACTTTTGTGGATTCCAGTCTATCTTGAAGGCTGGGAAACTTTCTCCATGAGTGAGGGTCAGAGTCAGTGCTGCCCTGGGGGTCAGGGCACCCCAGAGCAGACACAGAGATATTCCCAGTGCCCTGGGTTTGCACAGAGGATGAGCTCTGCTAACTGCCAGTCACGTTCTTGAAACATTTTTTAGTCTTTTGGACTGAAATGTGCAACACTGTATAATTCTCTGCTAGAAGGACTTATCCAAACAGGAGTCAATAACACAGCCCCAACACAATTGCCTCTTGTGTGGGAGGCTCTTGAATCCTTCCCAGTGTTTATAAAGTGTGTGTAAATTAATGAATGTATTTGTTACTAATAATCAGCCAAACATATTAAAAACTTTGAACTAAATACTTGAAAGAGTACTAAGCCTACCACCAGAATGAAGTCTAAGGGTTCTCAGCAGCAAAGTGCAGTAGAAAATTGTGGCTGAAAGGAACAGATGTTTAAAATGAATGCTTTCAGTGTGCTGAACTAAAATATAATTTAAACACATACAGAAGACATATAGACTGGCTTTCAGCAACACAGCCCCCTGAAACACCTCTACAAGTAACCTTGTTTTGGATCAGCAAGGCTTATTCTATTTATTAAATCAATAAGTGTAAAGCCCATAGACCATTTTAGTTACCAACCTTTTCCAAATGTATATCCCAAGCATTTCTAATGACAACCAACTGATTTTCATTATTTTGACCTCCTTCTTCTTTGACTGGATCAATAATGTCTGATGTAATAATTCATCAAATTATACTGGGAAACTTATTGATTCTTCTTGTACACATTAGCTGGAAGAAAAATATGTCAGTCTCTCACTTTAGCCTAAATGGCTTCCAAGATTTAAATTAAACTGCATTTGGTATTTGTATGAAGGATATTAGCAGTGTATGTAAAACAAATCACTGAAGCTGAAATGGATGTTTTACTTGCCCCAGTTCCCCTGACACTTTTATGGCACCCATCACTGCAGTGTGTTTTTCATACCCTAATTGCTTTGTGAGATCTCTGCTCTGCCTCTGCCTCCCGCCCCGTGCCCTGGTGCAGCATTCAGCAATGCTGTCTGACACTCCTCCTCCTCCTCCTGCCTCTTGGGGAGGCTCAACTCGAGGCCAGCTGGAGATTTTATTTAGTTGAGAGATGTAGTAGAGAAGTAGAAATCTTTCATGTAAATCCTGGGTGTTCACAAAAAAGATCAAAAGCTTTTGTGTATAGGATGGTATGGGGCAGGATTAATATTTAGCCATGCCACGTTTTTGGGTGTTTAGGGGTTTATTAGTGAAAGTAATATTTGAAAGAAGACAGTGAAGAAAAGTGTATGTTACAATATGCTGTATTTTCTAACAGCACTGAGCCCGTGAACTATCACTGGCAATTCCCTTACAAAAATCAAACTTGTGGAAATCTAGCCAATTTTATTTCTTAATACATCTGTACTGATAATTTTGGAGGGGGGGGGGGATGTGAAGATAAAAATACTAAAACAATGTGCTGAGTCATTAAGCAGAATGAAGCATCCCTTCCCCCTGCAGCTGTAATCTGTCACTGTATCACTTACCTACTGCATGTGTTGGAATAGCCAACCGTAGTTTCTTTTTCACCTTTTGTTTCAGATGAAGAGACTTAAAAATTGCAAATGTTTCTCCCCTTAGATGCAAGAGCATAAATCACGAGTAATACTGAGCTCTCTGCCTCATATTGATTCTTTGTGAACTAAGCCAGATGGGTTCAGATATGAGCATGATCTAATATTCCCCTTAGCTTGATTTATAGATTTCTTTGTGCATTACCTGACCATAAATGAGTCTTGCATTATTTCTTGTGTGCCTGTCAAATTAAAGAAAAATACTCTCATTGACCTTTCAACCTGGGAGAAAAAAAATGAGTCAGAGACATTTTACTGCATGTATTACAGGGATCTTGGTGCTTACATGCCAATTAAGAGTGTGTGATTATGAAAGAGGTCTGGCAATTTGTGTTGTGTGTAATGATTTCATTTTCCTGTAAAGCACGGAGTGGATGTACTGACAGTAGCATAAGCTACATTGCAAATAACCCTAGAAGAGAGAAGAAGAGGAGAACAATTTGGCACAATTCATTCCTTAATTTACAGAAACAAGCCCTGATTGCAAGAACTGAAATGCTTTTCTGGAAGAAAATAATGTTCTTTAAAATGTGGGCCCAGCAAGCGGAATTGCTGAGCCTCTGCCACAGCTGTGTTAATGCCAAAGAAGGGAACAGGCATCGGCGGCTGCTGACCCCAGAGACCTCTTCTGGGAGCAAAATGAGCTTGATATGTATGAAAAATAATGAGCAGTGTACCAGGAGCTTATCATTAGGACACAACCTTGGGCTCTGCACTTGCAACCAGCTTGAATGGGAGACACTGAGCTTTGTCTGAGCCGAGGGCTCCTGCTTAACCTGCAGGGACTGACCTCAGTGACCCCTCACCTCCTCCCACCATTCTCAAGCATCTTTCTACAGCCTAAGAGGCCTATTATCTCCTCTGTATTTATTTGCAAATAATGTTCAAATCTAGGAAAACTAGGCATTAAAAAAAGAAAATATTTCCATCTTTGCCATTCTTCAGTTTTTTGACCAGATGAAGTATGGTAAACATCCTCTGAAACTGCTCAGCAGACCAAATCCCTGTCATGTTCCTATTCAGGTTCTATCTCTATTCTGTATCAGGAGATGACATTTTCAGTAAGAATAAAATTTTAGTTTCTGCCTTCTAAGAAATAGAACTTTTTAAATAAGTCTTTCTTTGCTATGTGAGCACGCCACAAAACCTGGCTGCTAGCCCTGGCTCTGGAATCAGGCTGACCTGTTTGTGTTCTCAGCTCTCTTTTCCAGATACCTCACCCTCATGCGTCTGTGTCACCAGAAAAATCCTTTTTGCCCCCCTATTTTTCTCCAGCTCAGATATGTTTAGACTAGCCAACCTGCTCCTACAAATGAAAATAGAGATTCAGGAATATTAATGTTCCTTTCCAAACCCTTGTTAAGGTCATTGAAACATGAACTACCCCATTTCCTAGACTCCAGTCTTTATTTTATTCTTACGTGGCTCTGCTGTGGCAAGAAAGCTTTTCTTAACACATCCAATTGGCCAAACAATGAAGTGTTTTACATCTGCCCAGGGATGCAGCTGAGCAGTGTATCTGTTCTGAGGGCCAGTATATTCATGAGAGAAGGTCATAAGTATAGATTTTCTTTGGTTTGGATACTTTATTTTAATTCCCGTGGCTGATCACATTTGTTTATTTTTATTACCCTAAGCTTGCAGTCCCTGAGAATGGGATCTGTGGTGCTAAAGAGACTTTTATTATATATGAGACTTCAAGTGATAGTCTTTGCCCTGAGGAGCTCACAATAAAAATAAGCAGGCAGATAGAGAGATAAAAGACATGATTCAGCATCAGATGTAATTTGCTGTATGAAGCTGATCCAATTGTATTTGAAGGATTTATTTTACACATGAAGAAACTTAGGCACAATGAAATTAAATGACTGGCAGAAAATACCACACAAGTCCATGGCAAAGTAAGGACTAAACTCTGATTGCCCCATAGCTCCCAGGACAGCCCTTCTCTTTGAAGCAGAGGAAACTATTGAAGTTTTGAATATTTGAACTATTGAATATTTACACAACTACACATACTGTACACCCCAGTTTGTAGAATTTTTACTGGTCTACACAGTTCTCCCACCCAGTAGGTTTTTTGTGTTTTTTTTTTATTTTTTAATCCCTCTGCTGTGCATAAGGCTTGCACCATCTCTTTGTGAGCTGTTCTAATTCAGAGGTACTCTTGATGTCTAGCACAAATGGTGCTTCAAAGAGATGTATACTGCATAAAAACACAGAAAATACACCTACATTTCCTATTCTGGTCAGTATATTTATATGAAAAGTATTGTGGTGATAGATCAAAATGCAGTGATTGCTATTCCCCTTCACATGGTGATTTATAATTGTGGATTTACATCTGACTAAGACTGTTCAGACTGTCTGGCTTGCATGGTAATAACAACAGGCTCTGCTCAATATCCTTTTAGTATGGCAAAGCATATTTTAAACAATTCCATGAACACACAAAAGGAAAGTTAAAAACCTCTTACAAAATATAAAAATAATAAAGGACAATCAGTGAAATCCTA